ACACCTTTGTCCCAAATAGCCACTCCAAGCTTGCTTGATGGAACCCTAAAAACAGACTCCAAACACAACAGGAAAATTCTTGGATCACTTTAATACTTAAACCTTACAATGTTGAATATTTGCTTTGCCGTCAATAAACTCTAACAATTTATGCATAAGTCTAACACATTGTATCTTCAACACCTCAAGATATTACTTTGTTACTTGAAATCCACAATGAACTACATTATTTTACTGTGAAAATCAACTTCTCTAAACTTTTTTGCTTACACCGACGCAAATTAGGGATGTAATGCATATGATCAAACTTGAACGCCAACATACTTAATATTTTCGGTGGAAATCCTATCTCATGGATCCAAAAAGCAAAGGTCGGTAGCTAGATCATCCACTGAAGCAGAATATCGTGTCGTAGCAACAAGAGCTATCGGACTTATGTCTCATCAACTTACTATAATAACTAAGGACACTAATAAAGCAACCCTCAAAAATCTATGTGATAATATAGGTGTAAAATATTTGTGCTCAAATCCTATATTTCATACTAGGACAAAGCATATCTCTATGGATTACCAATTTGTTTGAGAACAAGTCATCTACATGTCTCTCTAGCAACACAACCATTCAAAGATTTAATCTTCATGATGCAAGTTATTGATGGGAAATTTCTCTTGAGGGGCGTATTGGAGAATTATGTCACATTGGATAATTACATAGCATAATCATGCACTAGGTCAAACAAGATCCTTTATTAGGCTCATTTATAATAATCATTTTATTTGCATATATGTACATTTAAGTCTTGTAATTACCTTTAATTATCTTTAGTTACCTTACCAATTGTCAAAAAATATTTTCTCTATTTATGTATTGCATTCACGATCAATGAAAGCAAAAAAAAAAACAATTGTGTGTTTTGTACGTTTGTTTAAAAGATACAACACGCATGTCGTATTTAAAAAATTCCAAAATAAAAAAATTAAGATCATAACCACTCACCACATGATAACAATAATAAATACATTATTATTATTATTATTATTATTATTATTATTATTATTATTATTATTATTATTATTATTATTATTATTATTATTATTATTATTATTATTAAATTATGTTAATTAAATAAACAAAATTAAATTTTGGCGATTAATCACATTACACAGAGTTAGACGGGGGGTTCCGTTATCCAGTCACCACATCGACACAAAATTTTAATGAACAATTTACTTTGAATCAATGCCATTTTTTGCATCATACTTGATGCCTTTTACAAACCTTAGAAGGACAAGTCTTGCACCGTCACAAATCCTAATCGTATAAGTTATGACAACACAACTATTGTAGTGCCATAAACCTTAATGCAACACGTTTACACCATTAAAAACATAATGATAAATTATTCAATACGATCAATCGAAATGACATTGCTTCAACATACAAATGTCAAATTCTGAACTAGAATGAGCATGAATCATTCTAATGAATAATAATCATTATACTAATCAAATGAAAGAAACAAAATAGTATATCAAATATAATGACCGTCACGTCAAAATTATTTATATCATATATAAATTGATCAATCATATTTATATCATGGTTTAAATAGTCTGTTGATCCCTGTAAGTTAGCGAATTTTTGAATTTGGTCACTATAATTTATTTATTTTGTTTGAGTCCCTATATCTCATTTTTTGCGTGTGGTTTAATCCCTAAAGGAAAAATCCGCAGGTTTCCTGCGGATTTTTCTTCAAATTTTTCTGCAAACTTTGGTTTTAGGGACTAGAATGCACACAAAAAATGAAATATAGGGACTAAGACCAACATAAATAAATTACAGGAACTAAACTCAAAAACTCGCTAACTTATAAGGAACAAAAGTGCATTAAAACCTTATATCATTTATGAATAATTGAAGTATCACTGTTTAATTATACAAATGTCAGATTAGGAAGCCTAGTCACATCTAAATTATACAAAACATGATGTCAATGTTTAATTTCTCTATTTTTATTTAACTCGTTATGTATGTTTTAATCGAATTAAGATAGAAAGTATAAAAAACAAACAACTATCTGATACATAGTTTCATAAGAAGCTTTGATACTACTGAAAGAAAATCTCAATATAAAATGCAACATAATAAAAAAAATCATTTAAAAATGAGGACACTAATATAATTAAAATAGAGATAACATACAATAAAACTAAGGATGTTAATAATCTTATCAAATATTAATGAAAGAATAAAACAATTTGCATAAATTTACCTTATTATTACAAATAAGTGGAGAAGTGATGTTGGATGACAACATATTGTGTGAAAATTCATAATTCCGTTAAAAATAAAGTTGTTCAAGTGGAGACTATTATTAGATAGATTATCTACAAGAACAAATCTTACGGTTAGATGTGTTTTATCTAATGTAAATGAAAATATATGCGTGTTTTGTTTTAATGTGAAAGAGGACATTGATCATATTTTCATTCATTGTCTGTGTATTCGTTTGATTTGAAAGGCTGTTGGGGACTGGGTTAGAATCGAACCACCGTCTATAGGCAATTGTACTAAGCATTTATTGAGCTGGTTTTTGAAAATCATTGGGATGTCATCTAAATCATCTGCAAGTTTAATTTGGTTTGTGTCGTGTTGGAGTATATGGTGGACAAGAAATAAAATCATGTTTAATGATAGTTTTGAAAATTCAGTGGAAATTTTTCACAAAATTATCAGCTATTTTTGGTACTAGTTGTCCTTAAATTTTTATCTTAGAATTAGATGCAATTTTTATGATTGATTTAAATATTCAAGTGATTTTTTATAGGTTTATTGTATGATGTGTTGGAGCATTGGACGGTAAGTTTGTTTCTTATCTTGTAAGTTGTTTGTTGGATTGTCATACCCTTATTACCAACTTTTTGAATATAATTCTATTTATAAAAATAAAATTAAAAAAACATTTACCTATTCTTAATTTTGTTGCATTTATATCTGTTATCTTTTTGAAATCTATAAATACACCAATTTCTTTTAAGAAATATAGAATATCCTTACTCGTATCTAAGAGTAGCCTGTTTTTAAAATGCTTAAAAATCATAAGTATTCTATAATTTATTTGTAATTTTTATTTAAAAATGTTATTACATGTTAAAAAAAAACATGAAATAACAAATCTCTTTGTAACCTTTTATTAAGTTGTTTCTTAGAAACAATTTAATTGAATTTTTACTCTACACTAAACAGTTTAAATAATTTTATTCAAAAAAAGAATAAATGATTTTTACAATAAAAGTTACAACTAATTTAAGAATTTTTTATAAAAAAAATTGAATTAATTTCAGCAATAATTTTTAAATATATATATTTTTTAATTGAATATATTTTTGGTCTCTAAAAAGTTATCAAAATTTATTTGTTGTTTTTTTTCCATAAAAAAATATAACACTTTTATTTTACAAAATTATTTTATAAGGAATTTTAATCACTATCATTAAATCAAAAAATATTTTATTGAAATAAATATATACTATTGAATGATTTATTGGAGAATTATTTAAAACATTATAAAAAGGCTCTCCACAAAAAGAAAGAGTTGAAAATTTTGATTTTGATTTTAAATTTTTATTTGGAGTGTTTTCTTTTTTAAAAACATTTTTTGAATTTATATGATTTAATGGTATGTGTGTGTGTGTATATATATATATATATATATATATATATATATATATATATATATATATATATATATATATATATATATATATATATATATATATACATATACATATATATATATATATATATATATATATATATATATATATGTATATATATATATATATATATATATATATATATATATATATATGTATATATATATATATATATATATATATATATATATATATATATATATAATATTTTAAACATTTTAAAAAATCATTCAAAATATATATTGACTTAATGTTAAATTAAAATTTTTTATATGATAAATTTTTTTATACTATATAGTTGGATTATTTTATATAAACAAAAAAAATATATAATCTTATAAATTTTTAAAAATAGTTAATGTTTTTTGTAATTAAAAATATTGTAAATGTTCTCAATACACTCTTCTTTATAATAAAGGTTTACATTTTTGAGAGGTTAGTGAATTGAAAAGGCTAACAAATCGTAACAACTAAAACTTTTGATGTATTTCACCATACCATTTAAATTTTCTGTATTTTAAAAAATAATATTTAATATCATATTAAAAACTAATAAATATATTACACGTTGAGTAATATTCTAGAAAAATATCTGTTAAAACATTATAAAACATTCATTTTTTAAATCACATATCTCATAGAAAAAAATCCAATATATTTAATTAATTTCATTATAATAATAGTCAAGATTCCATATTTCACCAATATATATATCAATATAATAATTCAAATAAACTAGAAAATCGGATAAAAATATTCAAAATAATAATAATTAGTAATAAATATTAATTAATTATTTTATCCTTTTTTATCTCAAAATTCAAACTTGGGAAATAGGTATCGACTCCTTATTCACAGCAACAACGCTTATTAGCCCCAATTAATTCCATTCTACTTATTATTTATATTTATTATATTTATTATTATTAATTATAAAAATAAATAAGCATATATATTTTTATTATAAATATGCATATTTTTTGACTGTTATAATTATGCATATATATTATAAAAAAGAAGATACAAAGTGAAGAGTTATTTTCAACGTTTCTGAAAAAGAATTCAGAAAATCAGAAATTCTTATACACATTAACAGTTTCTTTCTAAAAAGAAAATAAAAGTGAGGTTTTTTTGTTAAAAATATTTTATTTATTTTCACTTTTTCTTCTTCTTCTAAAGCGTTAAGCAATAAGTATATTGAAACAGCCCTTTTCATTTTCTTCCCAACCCATAAACTAAGTAAATATTTCTTTTTTCAGAATTTCAAAAGGTTTCTCATTCATGGCTGATCAAAACCTATCACTGAGTTCAATCCAAAATGAGTCTGAAACCACCAACAACCCCATCGTGACCGAAGTTGTTGGGGTTGATGCTGGTTCTGATACTGGAGAAAAATCCGAACCTAAAGTTATAAGTTCGGACACCGTTCGGGTGAAAAGGGCTAGAGGAAGGCCTAAGAAGAATGAGGTTGGTGGGAACAAACCTCTGGTGTCTGCGTCCGTGTCAGTGTCTGAGTCACCGCAGTTTGCTATTGGAAGTGAAGTGAAACGTGGAAGAGGACGTCCTCGTGGTTCTGGAAAGCTTCAGATTTTGGCTTCTATTGGTATGAGTTTCTTTTTCTTTTCATTGGTTTTATTTTTTCTTTGCGTTTTGCATGAGTTTTTGTTTTTGTTGAGAATTGAGAAGGTGCGTTTTAACGTTTGAGATTCATAGGAATGATTGTGTCATGTCGTTTTTAAGGAATATAGATCAAACATTTCAAAAGTTGTGTTTTGTGTTATTTTGTCTCCAATTTTGGATTGGTTTTGTTTGGAATTATTTTTGAGAAGTGATTGAATATTTGTTTATATTTCATAATATGATTAAAATTAGTATTAGTTAAAGGATTAGTAAAATTAGTATTCAACTTTTCACCATCATATATTAAAAGTAAGATATTATTCAAGGTTTTAGAGTTCTCCAATCAGTCTTTTGTTAAAGAAGAAACTTTTTAATAATTTTTTTATGATTTATTAAATATTAATTAATAGATGCGAAATATCTACTGTTTTAGTTTTATTACTAATATTCTTTTGACTATCTTTAGAATTATTTAATGTTAATTTTTCATTTAAATTCAGTTTCTTTGGGCGGTGAGTTTTAGAATTTTAAAGAAGTCGATTCTTTTGTTGAATCTAAAAAGATTATAAATATTAAATATAAAGATTATATTGAACGTTATTGAACTTATAATTTATCAATTTTTATTTCATTATTAATTTCTTTTTGACCATCTTTAAGTTAAGTCGGTGAATGCTAATAAATTTTTTATTTAATTTTGATTTACTTAATGTGTAGAATTTTAAATTTACATATAAAAATTGTTTTTTTATTTTTTATTGTGAAAAAAATATATTATAAGTATTATAACACTCCAAAAATCTATTTTTCTAATGAATTCAAATTTCAGAATCATAATAATATAATAAATAAAATTAATATCAAGACATAAATCTTAAATTATTAGGTTTAAAATATTTTTTAAATACAATAAAAATATAAAATTCATAATAAGATTTTTACATTGTTAAATAATTTTTTTGTTTCTTAAAATCTTTTTCTCATGCTTGAAAATGAAATTTATATTTGTTATAGGTGGATGTGTTGCTGAAAGTGCTGGAGGAAGTATGACACCTCATGTGCTGACTGTGAACCCTGGAGAGGTAATATGAGACATCTAAAAATATTGTTTAAATTTCATATTTAACAAAACAATATTATTATAAACTGAGAAATTTAATTTTGGTGATTTTCAGGATGTGGTTGGAAAAATATTTTCATTTTTTCAGAAAGGTCCTAGAGGAGCTGTTTGCGTTCTTTCTGCTGCTGGTTCTGTATCAACTGTCATCCTTCGTCAACCCAGTGTTTCTGGTGGTTCTTTAAGATATGAGGTACATTCGTAGATAATAGATGTTTTATAAAAAACTTTTCGTTACCGAACAAAACAGTATCAGAAGATGTTGACACTGATATGGTTACTTATTGTATCGCAAAAGATTTTGAGCAACCAAATATTCAACTGAATTAGTGTATCTATCAGCACACTTATATAAAATATGTTTTCATTAGTTAGTTTTGTATTGAAGATACCTAAATTTCGTCAGTTTCGATGCAAAATTACAGGGTCATTTTCAGATTTTATCTTTGAGTGGATCATGCACTTTCACTAGTGGTGCTGGTGGTGGTGCAGAGAGAAAACTTGGCACGTTGAGTATTTCATTGGCTAAACCTGATGGAGTGGTTTTTGGAGGTGGTGTTGGGAGTTCAATGATAGCTGCTACTCCTATTCAAGTAAGAAATTTTTTTAACATCAGACACCAGATACAAACACTCAGGCGTCTGTATCAGACACCAACACCGATACTACAAACACTCAGAATGTATTTATATATATTCTACCTATTTGTGATCAAGCGCACTAATTTATGTCTATTTTCTTTCCATTAGCTTATTTTGGCAACATTCAAGCAAAACATAAGCAACCAAATAAAGAGAAAGTACTCGTCTCCAAACATGGCGACTAATCAAGATTCATCAAGCGATAATAACCTGAAAGTTCCGAGGGTAACCCTAGAAGAAGAACCCAGCTGCCTAAGAGCAACAGCAACAAAGAAAACTAATGGTGTAGCAGAAACCGATGATAATGTGAAAGAGTCAAAAAGTATCACTAATGGTGATGGTGTTATTGACCTTGAAGGAGCATGTTGATGCCAACAGTGTATCTTAATTATGAAGCAGAGTTTTTCTGTCTCTTTTGTTATTTGCATGATGGTGTAATTTTCTTAGGTGGTAGGGAGGGTACTTAGTATGTATGAAAATGGTTGAAAAGGAATATTTGCAGACTCATTAATTGGATTTCTTTTTGTTTCCAATTTTGGAAAGTTATGATGCTTTTGTGGATTTATTTGTTTTTGAAATGACTACTCTATCAATTCCTTCATGAAAAGTCTCTTTGTCTTCTCAAATGTACTAGCTATAATTTAGCCCTTTAAGAAACTTACAACAATGAAAAAGATTAAAGCTTGGTTGTCACATACAAGTGTTTGATTTTTCAATGGAAAATATATGTAATGAATATACCTTGTGACTTCATAATATTTATTGGTTTCATTGTTTCTCAGACTTGCAAAGTTATACATGTTGATTGAGAGAACGCATATATTCATGGAGTGAATTGGCTGAGAAAAAAGAAAAAGTTGAAACATAATCTTTTGAGTTATTCATTCCGAAAGATGAGAATGAAAGTAAAAATTAAATTAAATAAGAAATCAACCAAGTAGATCCATTAAATATTTTTTTAGAAATCTCATTTTTCAAATATTTTTTCTTAGAACAAAAAAGGATTAAGTTTGGATTGTGATTATAGTCTGTCATACAATATTTTAATACCTTATTTTGTTTTGTTTTTGAGTTATTTTAGCATTAATGTGTTTTATTTTTATAGGTTATTAATAAAGAACTCAAACAATCACGGATAAGAACAATTTATGCAGAAAGCGTCTTAATTATAAAACTTTCATAGTGTTTTATTGAAAATGCTACGATGAAGAAGAAAAGAGAAGAATGAAACATGAAAAATGAAGAAAAATAAAAAAAAGATCACAAAAAGCATACAAGTTGTGGCATGCCTATAGCTTAAAACTTTCACAGTGTTTTATTGAGAATGTTACGATGAAGAAGAAAAGAGAAGAATGAAACATGAAGAATGAAGAAAAATCAGAAAAGATCACAAAAAGCATATAAGTTGTGGCATGTCTATAGCTAACAGCGACCTAATTCACCATCCAAAGGCCTTGGTGGAATGCACGATATTGTTCCTATGGATTGACAAAATTTTAGCAAAATAACAATTTGAAAAAAAGTGTCCAAGTATTCAAGATTGATCTATATAACTAAAGATATATGAAGTCATAATGGATACATGCTCAGCGTAATGCTCTAGCATGTTGGTACATCATCTGGGCTTTGTGCAACAGGCACTCAAATACTGCATTTTGGAGTATGTTCTGCAGAAGATTTATTAAAACTTTATTTTTATTGATTTAACAATATGATTAGGTGATTTGTTTGACATCTGGATGAAGTTTAATATGGATTTAAACGATGATTTAAATCAAAATAAATCATATATTGTTGGAGATATTCAATGAGCAAATCAAATATGCAACAAATTCTACATTAATTTTGGACAAATTTAAAGATATTACCCAAGGAGAAAAGTCCAAACTTACTTTGCTATATAAGGAGCTCAAAACTAAATTGGAAATCGAGCACTCCCATTGAAGATCTTAGAGTGTTAGTTATTGTGTTGTGTATTCACGCTAATACCCTAATTAATAGGATTAGTGTAGAATCTTTATGCACACCTCTATGTTTCAGTAATTTGGCATATAAGGTTTGTCTAGTTTAATTGTAATCAACATTATTTATGTACACCTTTATGTTTCAGTAATTTGGCATAAAAGATTTGTCTATTTGAGTTTTAATATTCAACATTCGTTCATCTTGTGAAGATTGAAGCTGATCACTAGGGCTTAGTGGTTGTTTGTCCCTGTCAGTGGTATTATGATAAAGAAGAAAGTGAGTAGATTCTCATATTTAGGGGGTCACTCTAAATAGAAAGTAATTGGGCAGTGTTAGGGAGAGGCATTGAATAACATATAATTTGTTGTTGTCTGTAAGTCTAATTGTACTAAACTACAAATAGTAAACTTATTTTTTGGGGTTATGGACTCAGTCTCTCAGACGTAGGTGTAGTTTCACCGAACTGGGTAAATAATTGATTGTGTATTTTATTTCTTTTCTACTCCATCATCTATTACTTGTTAGTGTAGTGGTTATGGTTGTCATACCCCAATTTTGACCCTGAATTTTTAAAATCTCATTATCATAGCATCTGCATCATCTGTTTAGCCTATCATGTCTCACATCACGCATAATGTCTGAATTATCAACTAGAATAAATTTGTTAGATTTATAGACGAATTGGTCAAACTGAATGTCAATTGTGCGTAAAATCAGAGGATGAAAAGTTTTAAAATCAAGCTTGTAGACAACAGTTATATTAATCTACGTTTCACGTAGTTTAACCTAACATGCTCATTTTTAAATTTTGATGATTTTTCGGTCGCATTTTGATTAGTTTGAGCTTTTTAATTTGATAAAGTTTATTTCAAAAAATTGACCAAACGATGTATTTTCCCAATAAGTTTATTTTACGCTGATCATTTTAGTGCATTCATTTTTATTTTTCGAGAATTTTGATACCCGACTGTTTATTCGTATTTTAATCTTTTTTCCTTTTAATTTTTAGCTAATTAACCATTTTATTTTTATTTTCATATTTGATTGATCAAAGATATGATGAATATTGCCTTGAAAATACTTGAATATTATAATATTGGCTTAATTGCAATTTTGGTCCCTCGATTTTCATTTTTTTTTAGTTTTGACCCCCTTATTTTAAAATCGGAATTTTTGTCCCTTTGTTTTCAGTTTTTTTGAGTTTTGGTTCCCTTATTTTAAAATTTGAAATTTTTGTCTCTCTATTTTCATTTTTTGTGAGTTTTGGTCCCCTTATTTTCATTTTTTAAAATTTTTGGTCTCCTATTAAATTTGTTCTCAATTGAAAAAAGGGATTAAAATTCAAAACAAAACTTAAAATAGGGGATCAAAACTAAAAAAATGAAAATAGAGGGATTAAAATTTTGGATTTTAAAATAGGGGGACCAAAACTCAAAAAAATTGAAAATAGAAGGACAAAAATTCCGAATTTTAAAATAGGGGAATTAAAACTAAAAAAAATGAAAATAGAGAGACCAAAATTGCAATTAAGCCTATAATATTTCACATAAGAGGATCAAAAAATAATACAATGACAAAGTGTAATAATGCATGAGGATCAAGAAAGAAAGTAATGACAAAGTTGTAAGAAAGATATCATTTTCATCCATTTAAGTTAACGCTGTGCTTGCATATATATTGAGTTAGTTCATTCTACATAAGAAAACAAGAAAAGTGAAAATTTACACTGATTTGGTTCTCATCATCTTCATCCTCTTTCTTGCATTTTCTCAACAACTACACATAATCATTTTTGTTGTGTATTCTGCATATCGAGGTGATAACGTCCAAACTTAGGATTGGTGTATCAGGTTTGGGTTGAGAAATCAGTGGGTTTATCTTGAATAAAACCTTGAGTGTTTTGTCCTCCAAGAATCTTGGATTTTGGGGATTTTGCATAAATCGTTCCTTCACAGATTTAGCCGAGCAAAGGTAATTGAAGAACGAGAGGTTCTATCAGTTTAGTAGCGTTAACTGGAGGATTGTGGTAGGAAGGTTTTGGTTTGAATCGTTGGTGTTTGAAATCAATTGGACAAGATTTGAATACCAAAGGGTTGTTCAAAGGTGGTGTCGTAATCAGAGGTTTACTCATCACGTTCGAAGGACTTGATTCTTATTGAATCAAGGGAAGAGAAGGCATAGGCTCTGCATCAACAATTGGGTTTGATTGTTTGAATTCTATTGCTTCTCTTATAAAAACAATTTGCAACAGGTTATATATACAGGTCTCAGTTCTATTTTTAGATTTGAGGGTAGACGTACCCCGAGCGAGGATGATGGGGGAACTGCCTCAAAAAATTGGTTTTCTCTCTTTACTATTTTTATTGCTAAATTTTGAGTTTGTGTACAAACATATTAGTTGATTAAATTCTGATGTGTTAGTGCTGAAACACTTTTAGAAACCTCATTACAATCCTTGATTGTAATTGAAAAACATAGCACTTCATTCACCTATTGAAATTCACTTGAGGTGCTTTGCACATCAAGTGTTCGACTAATTGCATTCTAAGTATGTCTGACGAGTACATTATGAATGGTGGATATCGGATTTTGAGCATTCAAAGTCTGTCTGACGATTCCACTTATGAGGTGTAGTTTTGGTTGATTGTCTCTCTTGATTCTTGTTGTTTTCCAAGATTGATTGCAGACCTTGATGATATCGATGTAGCCTCTAACTAGTATTAGAGAGAAACTTGATTGTACTCATTATTTGATTATAGTGGAGATTTAAGTGGCCTACGGGTCCTGTGATTTTTTACTCCTAGTTAACGAAGAGTTTTTCATGCTAAAATTGTGTTATGTTGTTTGGTGTGTTTTATTGATTGTCGTTGCATTTGATATTTGAGAGAGAGAATATGTTGTCGAATTATTCTGTTGCATTGTGTATTTCCTCCCAACAAGTGGTATCTAGAGCCATGGTTTGATTTGTGTAACAATGGGGACAAAGGCATCTATGATGGTGAGTTTGAATGGATCCAACTATAATGCTTGGAAAGGGAAGACATAAGATTTATTTTATGTTAAAGGCTTTCCCTTGCTTGTTTTCTCTAATGAAAAACTTGATGGATAGAGTGACGAAGAATAGGTTTTGTTGCATAGACAAGTTTATGGTTACATTTGCAATATGTTCATGATAATATTTTGAATCATGTGAGCTCGGTGACTCATGGTTACTCTCTTTAGGCCAAACTTCAGGAGTTGTATGTAAGAAAGACGGGGAACAATAAGTTGTTCTTGTTCGAGTAATTGATGCCATTAAGGTATAGTGATGGTTCACCAATGACCGATCACTTGAACACTTTCCAAGGAATTCTAAATCAATTCTCGGCGATGAATCTTACTTTTGATGATGAAATTCAAGGTTT